AAAAGACTCATGGCTGTATTAGCTCAAAAGGGTGCTTCTACTAAATATTGAGCAAAGGGTCTGAATACTTATGACCCTGTGATATTTCAGTTTTTCTTTTTTAATAAATCTGCAAAAATGTCAAAAATTCAGTGTTTTTCTGTCAATATGGGGTGCTGTGTGTACATTAATGAGGAAAAAATGAACTTAAATGATTTTAGCATATGGCTGCAATATAACAAAGAGTGAAAAATTTAAGGGGGTCTGAATACTTTCCATACCCACTGTATCTGCTGTCTGTCCCATGTTTGGACAGACATCTCTTTTCTGCTTCTGCCACTTCAGATAGATTCCAAAGGGAAGTCAAATTAACAAAAAGCTTTCACACTCTGAAAGATATCTAAAAATATACATTTATTCCTAGCTTTAAAAAATTCACAAGGCTGAGAAACCTGCATAACTGCCTTCTCCAGTGTAGTGAGCTCACGCCTCAGCTCAGGTGTTTCTACCCACACCGCAAGATCAGTACAGGTGCAACTGATAACACAAATTACTACTACTTCATATCAGGCAGGCAACTGGCATAGGTCAGTAGCACGTATACATTATGCATGTACAAAACCACCTCCATCTGTTACCACAGGTCATATTTTATATTCCTGTACACCATTTTACCAAACATTAAAAAGCCCTAGAAAAATATTACATTTAAATGTAAAAAATCCTACCAATGTTACAGAAACATTTTTTTGGCTTAGAATACTCTTAGTAGCTTTCCAAGGCCATTTATGGTAGTTGAACTCAACCAGGATATAAATCTAATATATACTGAAAACTTGAAACATGCATTTTTACCCAAACATTTTTTTTCTTCCTATTTGAATGCACATGCTTTTTCTGGTTGCCTATGAAAGTATAGTACCGGAGTCACATTCATTTGTTCAATGTACTTGGCCAGTAATGCTGATTCTGATTAAACATCACATTATTTACATTGCCACCATCCAGCAACATGTTGTCATTTGCAGGAAGCACAGAGTTGCAGCATCCCATTGTCATTTCATTTAGAAATTGAATGGACCAAATATGGATCTCTGGTGAATCCCCAGCCTCAGATTGTGAGCATCAAAGAAGTTATCCAAACCAACACTACTAACTTGGTAAGAGTGGTGTTCACAAACAGGTTTTAAAAGAGAAATGAAAAGATGCCATGGAAATCTATTCTTCAAATCGGCTTGGTCTTATTTTCCCACAGGGCTTGTTGTCTGGAGGCAGCAGTATCCTGTCAATCAGAAGCTCGGTGGCCTTCACCTCAGTGTCTGCTGCTGCTCTTCCTGGTTTCAGAGCCATGCCCACCATCAATGCCACACTACCCTTTGACTTCTTCTTTCCTTTTGTCTGATCCAACAGCTACCCAACACTCTGTATGGGTTCCACATATCAGCATATGGCCACATTTACCACACACACTGGTATGTGGCCTTTATAACAAGCACTGTGTATGATGAGGCTGCTACTTTATATTGTGTGTGCACTGTAGATAGGATTTTTGTAAGGAGGTTATTTAACTTTTTAAATAAATTAGATCTTTTCATTTATTGCAACCCTTTTTTAACACAACTAAATGTCACTTATCACATGTACATTTAGTCCTATGTACAAGTAAACAGCCTGAAAATGTTTCAGGTATTTACAAGGAAGTTGAGGCCATGGCCTTACTGCTATGTGGAGTGGAATCCAGTAGCATCTTAATATTTGACATTCATTAGATAAATGCAGACTTTAACTGGTTTCCATCATTATAATGACAGGAAACATGATTATGAATCATCTTATACAGATATTCAAAAGAAGGCGATTTCTCTACAGTTAATGTAGTAAAGCTCCTTTAAACAAATAACAATACTGAAATCAGGTCTGCAATAAAACATCATAGAGCATATGGCTTGAAAATTAAAAGTAATGGTGCAGAAAAGTACATGAGATACATGGCAGTGAACAGTTGCTCCACAGCAATTTTCTTGATGAGTTAGAAGTCTATGCCATGCTTCCTCAGGAGGTCTTGAAGTTTCTGGTTCTCTTGTTCCTACAACATGTGGGAGACATAAGACTTGGTTTGTTGTTGAACCTCATTTAAAACTTGAGCACAGACAGTGCTAGCCCAGATTTCTGTTTTAGCTTTGGTGAGTTACTGTAACATTAGAAACCCTTCCAGAAACTGTCCAGATTACCTAAGGTTTTGTGCAGGGGAACATTAATTATGCTCCACATCCGACTGTGCTCATGAATGTTGCATTGTTGGACCCATTTTTTAGCATTATTTATTGTTAGTGATGCTCTTTTGGGATCTCGGTATTTACTTTGGTGTGTACAGTGTTAACCAACTGCCACCACCCTAATACCCTCAGATAATTTGATCAGAAACCTTTTTAATTTTTTATTTTATTATTTTTTTTATTGATTATGTGGTCAACTAAAACGTCTGGATGCAAAAGTACTGATTAATTGTGTAAAATTTTAACTGTAGGATATAAAGTCCCCACAGGTTGCAAAAGTGTCCTCAATTGTAGCTACTGCCCTGATGACCTCATGTATTTTAATGTGTATAAATTCCTTAATACAGTCATCTTTGCTGGTGTATGTGGAGAATTACAGACCTCAAAAACTGACCATTCTGTTCTTCTTCATCTTAATAAATCTAAACCTTTGATACCCCATGATACATTCAGATTTATTATAAGAAGCATTTCAGGAATCACCAGTTTATCAGTGCGCTCCTGTAGCTCTGTGGCTCTTTGAACGAGGTGGTCGTAGCTCTCCTTCAGCTTGTGGATCTTCTGGTCGGCACGATTTTTCACTGAAACCAGGATACCTGCAACACATTCAAACACAGTCACCTCCAGATGTAAGTATGCTGCCTTCTAGTGCTTTTTGAAATGTACGTTTTCACTGCAAACTTGAGAAAAACCTTACATTTAATAAAGCAAAGTCCAGTATATCCTTACAAACTATGCCACACTGGGTTCTCGACACCTGGGAGTAGGTGGGCATAAGGACAAGGGGCATTTGTAGGTGTGTTTGTATGCATGGTGGCACATGCATACAGTCTGTGCCAGTCTGCAGTCTTAATGTAGTAATGATGAAGATGAACATTTTTAGTTATTAGATATTTAATATCCTGTAGCTTAATGTTAATATTAGCCTGCTCACATGAAAAATGACAATGACAACACCCTGTTGAGCAGGTAATGTTTGTCATGTTCAGGCTTAGTTTTAGCATGCTAGCATTTCACAAAGCGCAAAGTACAGCTGAGGCTGATGAGAATGTTATTAGGTTTGCAGGTATCTGGTCATGAACTGAACTGTAACTGTACTTGTATTGAAATGCATTTCATTATAACGGTGATGTGTTACTTTGTCCCCTGTACACTGTCAAGTAATGAGTGTCACTGACCGTTGATAATTCTGGCCACCCTCCAGAGTCGCAGCAGGATCAGGAGACCCAGTCCATTAAAGGCGTCCTCGTGGAAGACAAGGACAATGTCCAACACGAAGGACACCACCACCACTATGCCATCAAACACCTCAAACTTGTGCTGGAAGAACTCCAAGCGGTAAGCAAACAGCTTACCAGCCAGCTCCACCATGAAGAATGTGAGGAGAGCCAAGCTCAAGTAATGAAACACCTGCATCAACAAACGCTGCTTAGTCACCATACTTAATTATAACAGTGAATTTCCTTTGAGTAAGCAGATGGGTTTTTGTCTCACCTGAGGAGCAACATGGTTGTGTTCCAACTTGATAACAGAGAGATCTATAAGCAACTCTGCCAGAACAAAGAATGCATCCAGGATTATCAGACACACCACCACCACCTAAAAGCAGCATCAAACAATTAGTGAAAGGTCCCTGTCTTAATCCAGCCTCTTAGATTTTGCATGAAAAACAACAATCTTTAAAAAAAAAAAAAAAAAAGCAAATTCATAAAGAGACACCTAAACAACCCCAGTGGATAGCTGGAGCTCTCTATCACGTTTCAGATCCATTGTGCTCTAAACGTCTCACATGGTGTCATTTAAACAGTAGGTCCAAAGAGGTCAAAATATTTTAGATCTTACAAAGAAGGAGGCGATTAGAGAAAGGTTTAGAAAACTGAAAACAGATTTGTTTGTTCTTCTTTCCTCTCCCATTAATCATCTCTCCACCCTTCACATTTATCTTGTGGCCCTTTAGAGGGGAACCATTGGATAACACTGCTGTTTTTCCCCACAGTTTATGACATTTCATCTAAGTGGAGAAATCACAAAACTTGCTTTCAAACTTCACTGACATTGCTATGCCAGCCGGCAGGTGACAAGACTAGTGTGACAAACCTGGAATCGATTTGAGCCGTAGAGTCTCTTCAGTGCGTCCCTGAAGGTCAGCGTTGTAAACTGTCCTGTGGCCGGACTCAACTCCTCGCTGGCCACGTGCAGCTCTTCTTCGTCCCATTGACCTGGCTGCTGATCACCCACAGTGGTGAAAAACCTCAGGTATTGAGCCATGACAGCAGGCTCTGTGGAAGGAGAGGACTAGGTCCCACTTCAGCTCACATCAAAGGTAAGGACATCAGTGTCAGTTCAAAAGTACTGTGGAGCGAGATTACACAGCTGTTTTCTTTATACCGTTTAATAAACTACAACTTAGAATATGTTTCCGTTATTTCAGGAACTCCTCTGTTTAGCTGTTTGCAGACCAGTGAAGGTTAGTAACAGCCTCTGTTTTTGCAGGTTTCTTCCTTGAGCTTTGCAAAAACACATCCCATCAGCGCAGTTTAACAATCTGAGCTTACTTCTGCATTTTTACATTTGCAACATTATTGAGAAAGCAAACCACCTCAACCTGGAGTCAAAAGGAAGCTGCAAGCAGTTCTCTTCAATGAAACACCCCCCACAATCCCCAGAAGCTACTTGGTAAAAAGTCACGAGGCTGTTTACAGCTGAGGTGGAAGACATCCACCTAATAAAATCACAATCCACCTCCCCCTGTAAGGTAGCTCAAACTACCACTACATCCTCTTTGGAGTTAAATGGCATAAGGGCATGGGGATTGACAAGACACAAACCTGCAGCTAGGAATAAAGTGACACACAACAGGACAGACAGTAATTCACTAGTGAGTCAGCTGACTAGAACCAGCCCTGCTGACTCAGAAAATACTTTGATTCGAAGAAACAACAGCAGCACAAAACACTCATTTTTGCTTATTTAATATGGAGAGGGTCGTAAAGTGGCTAGCACCGATTAAAAAGTGAATTGGACGTAAATGATGTGTAGCAGGCGAAAATAAATTTTAAAAAAAAGCTCCTGTGAACATGATCGCAGACAATGTTCAACGTTTCCTACAATGATTTGCACAAATCTGCGCAATGGTTAGTTTGGTTACCCAATCCTTATCTGAGCAATGGGCATTTCATAAGGGTCGGAAAGCTGCTGCACAGCAGACTAAGACTCGTGATAAAAACATCCGTTTGGGTGGTTTTGCCAACTAAACATTTTTACTGCCAATAACGCTACCAGTCCGGTTTAGCGCGTCACAACTACTTCGTATTAGGCGTAACCGTGATATTGCATTAAAAAGCTTACCTTTTTTCCCCCTCCACTTTGCTTTTTAACTTTTCTGTTCCACACAGACCAAACACTTAGTGAACCGCATCCAGAAAAACTCCGCCTCCGCCGCGCAACCAAACCTAGTTCTGTCCTCTCCGCACTGATCCGTGAAGGTTTTGGACATTTTATGTTATCTGGCTTAGGTAGAAACATTAGGTTACTTAAAACCTCGTTTGGAGCATTAACCTACAAGATGTTATATTATATATTGTATAAAAACTGCACAGTATAACACCAAGTCAGCTGAACTTCAGGGACATCATTCTGTCCATTTAAGAAGCACAAGTGATTGTGAATCGGTTTCATTGCATTGGTGCAAATGAAAGCGACACCAGGTGCAATGAAGAGGCAAAAGCAAAACAACCCCCAACAAGAGAATGGTTTTCCATGTGGTGGCCACAGACAAATGCTCCCTCTTGATCCTTCCTGACTGATTCTTTTCAGGTTTTGTGTTTTGCTGGTGTCCTTGTCACTACTGGCAGCATGAGGCAGTACCTGCAGCCCAGTCAGGTTGCACAGGTAGTCCAGTTACTCCAAGATGGCACATCCATACGTGCAGTCGCAGGAAGGTTTCCTTTGTCTCCCAGCAGAGTCTCAAGAGCATGGAGGAGATACCAGGAGATTGGCCGTTACTCCAGGAGAGCTGGACAGTGTAGAAGAAGGGCAACAACCCAGCAGGACCGGTGTCTGCTCCTTTGTGCAAGGAGAAACAGGAGCAGCCCTGTGACAGCCCCACAGAATAACCTTCAGAAGCTACTGCTGTGCATGTTTCTGACCAGACTGAAGGAAATACCTTCAAACCGAGGTCAGACCTTATGCTGGTTCAGTGGGCCCTGGGTTCCTCCTGGTGCAGGACAATGCCCGGCCTCATGTGGCAGGAGTGTGTAGGCATCTCCTGGATGATGAAGGCATGTTCCCCTGACCTAAATCCAACCAAACACCTATGGGACATTATGTATCAGGGCATCTGACGCCACCAGGTACCACTACAAACTGTCCAGGAGCTCAATGATGCCCTGATCCAGGTCTGGGAGGAGATTCCCCAGGACAATATCCACTGACTCATCAGGAGCATGGCTAGATGTTAAGAGTGCATACAGGCACACGAGGGCCACACACACATGAGTCACACAAGTTGTCCTGATTTGCCACAGGTTGATGATTTTGGTTTCCATTGACAGTTTTAGTTTGTTCTGAACAAATTATACAGTGCAGATTAGTAAAGTCTTTCAACTTGAATAATTCCTTCATCAAGATCCAGTGTGTTTGTGCGTTACCTTAATCTGTGAGCAGTATACTGTGTAAAATATACACACCGTTTAATTCCTTGGCTGATCTCCTGAATATTAGATTAAAATACTCACCTGAGATCAGCCAAGGAATCATTATCAATTTGACTGCAACCACCTCAAACTTGTGCAGTAAATCAGTGGGTTCCATAACTGATTACAAATGTTTCATTGTCCAGCACATCAAATTTTGTATTATTTGAAAGTATCTTCAATTCCTTAAATCATATAGCCTTAAACTTTTATTTCAAATGTCAATATTCTAGGTGGTCAAAAATTCTACAAGTAGCAGTGATTCGAAGTGTATCTGTATTTTAAAGAAAAAAGTAATTGTGGAAGCACAAGCATCTGACAAAGTTTTAATGCAATTATAAAACACATTCTGTACTCAAATTCTTACCAGAAAGAGGGAGAGAAACAAGAAGAGTTTTAGACAGTGAAGACAGATCTCAAAAGAATATTTTCTCACTTCAAAGTTCAGTCTTTTTGATTTAAGCTCCTTTGAATGGGTGGCATCTGTTTGAGCTGGCCCATGATCAACTTCCTGTACATTTAATGCATTAAAGTCAAGCTATTCTCAGACTGGGCCAGTCAGAAGAACTAGATACCATTGTGGTTCTACCTTATAGGGACAAAGCACATCCCTGGAGAGGGCACAGAACAAGAATATACATCAACATATGCACAAAAAAAGCTTGTGTTCTTTTGTCTTTAGTTTTAGAATCAAGTGTGTCAAAACATGGTGGTACATTTGTGGCTACTGCAGCCTCAGGCAATGTCTTCCTTGCCTAATGGTATAAAGTCCATCCCTGCATGAGGCTCTCTGCTGAGAGCCAGTGTACAGGTGTCAGTAACAAGAGACAGTAAAATTGTTTTGTTCTTTATATGAACTTTGTAGACCAACTTTGGAACACTGAACATACCCTTTAAGATTCAGATTTAACAGAAAACCTTTCTGTGGAGGTAAATGTCTCAAACTGAACTGGTGCTTCAACAACACTTTATTGAAACCTTTGTACACATTCAGGATGGAACCAACACAGATTTTACATTGTGGTAGGACTATGACCATTTCCTGCAGATGGCAAATGTAGATGCCTTCTAGGGCTGCAATATAAATCCTTTTGTGAGCATGATTGAGATCCCTGTGCAAACTCAGTCTCACGTGACAATGATTCTGCCATGTTCGCATTAGCAGATGCCTTGCACCAAACCAAGTGCTCCTTTTCGTCGTTAAGATGCGTTACCCAATACCAGGAGTTAAGGATGGGCAATGACTTAAATTTAGGACAATCAAGCTGCATGTCTCTGGACTGTGGGAGGGAGCCGGAGTACCCAGAGAGAACACACAGGCACAGGGAGAACATGCAAACTCCGCACAGAAAGGTCCCTGGTCGGCCTGGGGCTCAAACCCAGAGCCTTCTTGCTGTGAAGCTACAGGCTCATCAGGCTGAGCAATGCAGCTAAACGTGGGTGTAGCGGTGACTGTCCGCAGCCACATGGACACATGAATTTTTCCACAGCAGCATGGCAGGAATCACTGAGCCCTACAAACACAAAACAAGTATTACCAAAGAGCTTGTATCCAAGTTATGTGCAACAGTCTCATGAGAAATGTTTCAGGTCTTCAGTCAGATTCTGGTAATTTGTTTTACTCAAACCTGTGCCAAAGTCCAGAGTTTCTCTCCCAATACCATGATTCCACAGCAGAGAGGAGGTCTATGCCATGGCAGTACAAGATTGGGTTTACAGTGCATTCCTCCTTCACATTAAGTTTGTCATACACACCTGGTGTCAGGCTTAGTTCCTCACGGGCGTCTGCCGCCCCCTCCAGACCAGTTGCCCCACATGCTCCTGCAGAGAGCTGAGCAGTCAGTGACACTAGCACCACACTGCAGATCACGGTTGACAGTTGGCTGCTACGCTCAGAGTTCCAAGTTCACCATGGTGTTTTGTCAGCATGATGTGTTATATTATGTCATCACAGCATGTAACATGAATGTTTTAATATAAAAATAGCTGTAACTAGTTCCGTCATGTTCACCTTTAATCAGCCTGCAGCACCACTGTCAGCTCCACAGTAAGCAGCTCTGCCTGCAACACAACCACAGGAAAACAGTGAAAGTTCAGACTCAACAGGCCATTACACCCAGTGTCCAGTGAAAGTGCAATCTGTTAGAAAACCGAGCCGGCCCATTCTTTGTGGGCTAAACTTTTAATCACGATAAAGCAGCAGGTTAACAGATAAAAACTTCTGTCTCAAAGTCCATTTGTGAAAAAGTTTGCATGTCACAACATAAATATCACACTCATTTGATTTTTTTTTTTAAGGCACTGACCTAATAGAGGGCTGTAGGGATGATTTTTGTAGGCCCAGACATTTACCGAGGGAGAGTTTCTGAAGAGCTGCATGATGAAAGTGTGCGACGTCTTGTGTCCAGACAAAAAGCAGGTGTTTGCAAATGGAAGCCTTAGCAGAAATACGGTTGCTGACTTTAAGTTCAAGTTTATTTATTTTGGTATAATATTGTATCTTGTCTGTTTCGATTCATATTTATGTTCAAAAGACGTTTAGTTTGTCTGTTCAAAACATTTTTATCCCGTTTGGCCCCCGACCTAAAGTGTTCTTTGAGTTTTGGCCCCCTGTGCGATTGAGTTTGACACCCCGTCTTAGCATGACCTGATCTAGCTAGTGACCATGGCTGTGCTGTCAGTTTGCAAGTGCACGAGTTTAAACATAACGAGGCTATAGAGGCAGACTAATGAGTAGACGAGTCTATGTTTAGTGTGTTGACATGTAAAATCCCAGACAGCCTCTGTAGTCTCATTTAGCCACTTGTTACCAACCACCTTTAAGACAGGTAAAAGCATAAATAATCATGAGTGGGGTATTTACACACTTATTTAATTTCATAGAACAAAATGTGAAAGTGTACTGCCCTTGGGTTCACATTATTTCAGGCATCCAACCAAAAAACCCATTCCAAAAAAAACAAACAAAAAAACAAACAAACAAAAAAAAACCCCAGACATCAGGGCACTGGAACCAGAAGGGCAAAAAATGCAAACTCAGTTGCAGGTTTTACAACTCACTACTATGGCACTCTATATACTATAACTGTTATCACATTTACTCAGTCTGAGTTCTCTATAGCCTACTATACAGGTCGGCATGCATGTCAGCAAAGTGATTTGCTGAGCTGGACACACTGGCACCTTTGGTTTGCATAGGTTTGAAACATTTTTCCCAGATGGGTTTTCCGTAGGCTTGTTCTGGCTTTTGGCTTTGTGAGCGAAGTAATATTTTGTTATGTAGACAGTGGTGAAAACAACTTTCGTGCAGCCACACCTCATTTTTCCAACATGAAAGAAGCATGCAGCTGACAGCTGTGTAGTCTACATGAGAAAAAACAGTGGACACACCTACTATGTGAGCAGGGAGCGGAACCAGAGCACTGTACACACACCGCCTGGCTGTAGCACATCAAAGCAAGAATTAAGTTCTTATGAAATGCTGTCATTCTTACAAGTATAGATACTAATAAAACAGGGTATTGTACCATTTTTAGTGGCAAGGTATTGTAATACCTTCCTAGTACCATGCAACACTAGTGATATAACAACCTCTAAGACACTGAACCACATTTTGTGGTTTATATGGTGTCAGTATGTGATTGTATGGCCCTGCACTAGGCCTGTCCTGCTGTTAGACCAGGACAGGCCACTCTCGTTGGGCCATGCTCTGCAGCAGCTCAGCAGCAGCAGACTCTAAAACAGAGCCTGCAGAGCTCAGACCAGGTACAGAGACTTCCTCTACCAGCACTGTAACACTGAGCCAGACACCACCGCCTGGTCAGCTGACTAAGAGCTGGGGGGTGGTGGGGGGGGTCCCAACCATATTGCTTCTGCTACAATGACTGAAATATGGAGTGGGCTGTGTATTTACCTTTGTTCCCCACAGTTGCTGTTCTGCCACATTTGTTCAACAGGGGATGCAGCATCTCTGAAAGGACAACATGAATGTCACACTGGTGTCAAACAATAGGGCCTCTAAAGGGCTGTTCATACTTTGTGTGTCTCCATGTCTGTTATGTTTGAGCGACATAATTTTCATCATCTTCCCAGGCCCACACGGACTCTGTGCCGAAGCCCACCAATGGCCCAAAGCCTGTGTCTGCGCAGACAATCAACATAGCGGAAGCTCCAACTACACATGTGCCACAATGCTTGCAGAATGTTGGCATACGCAAACAGCAAGGAGACTCTTGATCTGAATTATGATTAGGAATGCGTGTATGTCCCTCATCCATGTTTGTGTATGCACAAAGTATGTCTAGCCCAAGTGTTTGTCATTAGTGGGCAGATAGTGAAGCTCTGATCAGTTGCACACTGCAAATCACAGCTCTCAATAAATCCATCAATCAACAATCAATATGTTCTGACTAAATTAGCGTCAAACTAGATTTCTGGTACAGAGGGCAAATAGTTACTACACACAGTGCTGTAGACTGTACAGGTGTGATATAAGTATATACACTTTGGGTTCAGATTGGCTGCTTTAATCTGAAGCAGTGTTCCCTTTTGCTTGACAAGTTATAGCGGTTTTTAGGACCGTACCCTAAAACAGCTGTGGTTGTAGGTAAAAGCACCGTTAGCTTTTAAACAGGCTACATGAGCTGTAACTGCATTCTCCCATCATGAAAATATACAAGGTCATATTTTATGAGCACTTTTTTCAGGTTAATGCAATGCCCATCTAATGAATAATCAACTCTGAATACTGTAGTTACACTTTCTAGGTATCCATGTATTTTGCAGCTTGCTGTATATGCCATCCTTTATGCGAATGAAACAACCCGTTTAAAATAAATTTAAAAAAAGGATATGCAACTTAAGTTTCCATATATTTTGTCCAAAATATTGCCCATATTTTCAAATATATTTTAGGTAACAAATATAGTGTGGGCAGCATGGTAGCCCCATTAAGGAAAAGGACAAATAAACCAAGTCCTAAAGTCCATGAGGCCTAGATGAGGCTAACTAACCATGAAGCACATGTTGCTGCAGTCCGTAATGTTTGAAAACCTAATGGTTATGCAGTTTATATAAATGCATTTGGGTCCAGGTCCCGCAGTGCTTGGTCAAAAGTGACCCAATCGTCCAACGAACCAAGGTACAAAATAGGGTGCACGAGCGCTGCACTGGGGGATGGCTTTGCATAATCCGGCAACCCTAAATATTGGTCTTATCAGTGTCTTATAAATGTTCTTATTGGTCTTAACAGTGCCTTATAAATGTTCCATAAACCATTTTACCCCGTGACGAAAGTCAAATTACAGCGTCCAACTCCTTCACAAAGGACGACTAATCAGCAAACAGCAGTCCGAGGCTTTCTGACCGTAAGTTCGTTAGACATTGAGGTTGTTTTGACGGTCTTTGTGGTTATTTAAACCCTGAAACGACGTTACATTCCTGCACAGAGGAAAACGTGCAGCGAGGGTATTATGTCACCCATTTATTAGCACTCTTACACCAAAAACAACTGAAATACTCACCAGATACAAGAATAAAGTTGGCCACGCAGGTATACCGCATGGTTCCAGCATTCAGAGAGGGGAGAACGGAAGTCACGCGTTCATTTATAAAGTGTAGTATGACGCTATGCATTGTGGGGAAGAAAGCTTTCCCAAAGATCGTCCTATGAGCAGATGTTCCACTAGCCTGTTGTCCCCCGCACAATCATAATGGGGTAGAGTTAGCTTCTGCTCATCACATATTTGAAACGTTAATTTTGAGAATAACAACATTAATTTAAAAACGCTTAAATAATTGTAAATTATATTAAATACATTATTATTATTATTATTATTATTATACATTTATAAATGAAACCTGCAAATAAATATTTGTATTTTACAGAGTCTAGGAATCATGTTTCTGATTAGCATTAATTAATTATGTGTATATATAGGCTACACAATGTGATGTTTGTCCTCAGTTTTATTTCAGCAAAGTAGTGTACATCATGATAGCCTCCTGTGTACACAGCTTACATAATCAAAAAACAACTATAACAGTAAACAGATGTAAACAGGAATGAACAAGATGCCAGGGGGTATAATCATAGCAAAAAAAAAAACAAACAAAAAAAAAACCTAATAACTAAATAAATAGATAAACAAAATAAATAAGGAATCAATTATATATCCATCCATTATCTATACTGCTTATTCCTGAATAGGGTCATGGGGGGGCTGAAGCCAATCCCAGCTGACATTGGGTGAGAGGCAGGGTACATCCTGGACAGGTCACCAGCCTATCACAGGGCTGACATGTGGATAAACAACCACACACACACTCGCACTCACTCCTACGGGCAATTTATAGTTGCCAGTCAACCTAAGCTGCATGTCTTTGGACTGTGAGAGGAAGCTGGAGTACCCAGAGAGAACCCACACAGGCACAGGGAGAACATGCAAACTCCACACATAAAGGCCCCAGGCTGGCTGGGGCAGCAACCTGGAACCTTCTTGCTGTATAAATTATATAAAAACATTAAATTGTTTATTTAATATTTAGGGTCACTGTCCTGCTGCATCCCCCAACTTCTGCCGAGCTTCTGCTCATGGACAGCCACCCTGACATCACCCATAAACTTGGGAATTTATTTTCCCTTACATGATGGCAAGCTGTCCAGGCCCAGAGACAGCAAAGCAGCCCCACATCATGATGCCGCCTTCTCTGTACTTTACCACTGGAATTATGTGTAATCATGCTGATATGAAACATGAACACATCCAGTTTCACAGACAGTTGATACTATCCAAAAAAAGTGCATACACTGTGCATGTGTACATGGTGCTTTACCATTCAGCTACTGGAGTGTTGTCACTACATATGGACAAAAAAGTCAGCTCACTGTAACCTGTGAGTGTCCATCATTCAGGTCATTTCAAAAACCCATTAAACATCTTGCATAGACAAGTTTCATCATTTTTAAAAATTTCCACAAAGCCTCATATTTAAATAACTACAGTAGGTACATCTTGTACTGAAGAGTAACTCTGCTTAGCCTTATTTGAGCTTTCATTTATTACTGTATTTGTGACATAAAAAGTATAAAGAAAATAGGAACTGATGAAACAAAAGCAGCAGAAGATCACAGATTAAACCCCCAATCACAAAATTGGGTTTATGTCTTTACACAAAATGTAAAATACACTGTAAAATAACTTATACAATACACTACTAGTGTTTGTGCAGCACAGGTAATGTAGTCAGAACGTCATCATAGCTGCAAGAGTTGAGGTGTAGTTTGCTGAGTTCACACTCCTGAAAAACAATAACAATAACAATAACAATAACAATAACAATAACAACAATTAAAAGAACATGCAGATTTCAAGGAAAGGATACATGAAACTTTAACTTCTCTTTTATTGTTCTCATTTAAAGAATCTCACTGTTACTGCCCCAGTCTTATAGTTAGCTTAGACTTAGTTGTTAAAGCTGTACTAAACTATGTTTCTGGATTAATAGTGGATCAAACAATAGATCAGACTACTATGTGACCGGTGTTGCTCCTAGTGACAAACCCACAAAGATTTATTATAGTCCTGTACTATCAGCTCCATGGAACCTTTTAAATACCTTCAGCTTACTTACATTCAGTTTTAATCTTATTTCCAGCAACTTTACTGTTCTGATTCAACACTATATTAAGCAAACAGACACAATTAGAGACTAGCTAGTCTAAATAAAGTTAAAGAGCCAAATAATTTGCCCATGGAGTCAGTAAAAAGAGATCAAAAAGAAGGTGAAAATTGTGAATACTTAAATTGATACAAGCATGGCTCCAAATGAAGGATGATGTTGCTCTGAGTCTACTGATGTGTAAGGAAGTCAGGTCATGCAAGTTCCAAAGAAAGCTTCCTCTGTGACCTATCTCAATCAGACTGTCTACTTGTTTAAATTTCTCAACCTCTTGTCTGTTTGGGACTAAATATGAGATTTTCCTTTGAGGAAAGATCTTCACATGGATGTTTGTGCCACCCTGTGCACCACAGGAGAGAGAGAGGGAACATGAATGAGAGAGACAGGGATCACACCTGTTAACACAGGCGGTGATGATACTCTTGATGGGTGTGCTCTTAGGACCAGGAGCTGGATGGAAGATTCTCTCTTGATTCGTTGGTTTGGACCGGCGGATGATGTATGGATCAGCAGAATGTGAGGGATAAGTGTCAAACGTCCCTGCTTTCATTCCTCCCATCTAGTATAAAATACATCCACATAAACATACAGAAAGTCTCTTCAATATGTAAAATGAAATACATCTACACATATCACATTATTTCTGCCTAATACAGTAAAGCAGACAAAGATATTCACCCTTTTGCTGGGGGATGGGGGCTTGAAGGGAACAGGAGACAACTTCTGTGGAGGTGGGAGGGGCTTATGTGCAGTTGTTGGTGGGAGTGGCCTCTCATTGAAGTATGGATTGCCTTGGAAATAATCTCTGGGGTGAAGGTTGAGCTTGAAGGGACCATCTCTTATCTTGGAGCGATGGATTGCTGCCTCCTTCTGTATCATAAACATGTACACACATATTTAAATGTGATCTTAAAGAAGGAGTAGAAAACTGCAGCTGTTTTTGTTAGTTTAAAGGCCTAATTTAAAACTATAAAGGATTTAAATCAAACATTTGTGGAATTACCATGGTCAAGGAGGTAAAAAAACTCATCTGAATGTTCCACATAGTGACATAGAGTTTGGTGAATTTACAGATTTGCACATTGACCAATAGAAAGTCAACTTGGAAACATTGATCTCTGAGGGGAGGAAGTGCAAGAGAGTTCAAAATGGAAGCAGCTATCATCACTTATTAGTTGTGCATCATGATCCAGACTTACTGAACCCACATCTGTTGGAGAAGAACTCCACATTGCCTAAACAGATTGCAGACTGAAGCATTCATACAACATGTTCTAGATCTAGATGATTTATATTGGTGCATTAAGAGTGTCAGCCAATTTTGTGTAATCACCATGTCTTTTTGTGGTACCTGTGTTTGTCAGTGAGTAGGCTATGACTCAGTACGGCTCAGCGCAGATGTTAATGTGGACATTTACTGTAACCTCACACTGCCTCCTCATACTATATGTTTATCAGTCACGTACTGTAAATGCTCTAGACTGCAATGTTTCTGTTACTGTATGTATAATGCTAACCAGATAAAACCAATAGAAATGATGGTCAAGACTAATGAGAAAATAAAACCTAAGCCGTAATAAAATGGAATTTTCTGTTAAGTGTTACCTTCAGTAGTTCTCTGACTCTGTCGTAGGGGTCTGTGGTATACAGTTCGATTTTGGACAGCGTCACGTTGGGATAACTGCAGGAGACGATAACATTTATCTCAGCTGCATTGTATCTATCATGGGTTAGTCATAGTATCTTTACATGGAGCATTTGAATTATAAGAAATGCTCATCCATACATTTAACTTTATTAAAGTACAATATCAAGTCCCTGTAATCCAATTAAGGATAACAACAAACCCGTCAGCCAAATTGGTTTGCTTGCATCTGACTGAATTAACTCTTTTCTCTACTGTGCAACACTTGATAGTTGTACATTACATTTCAAAACATATGGATGTTTCTAAGATTTCTTATATGAGTTCACTGGTTATTAGAAACCATCCTAAATCATGGGTCAGATCATTCAGCACATGCAAATATCTTCAAATATGGAATGATGTAAAAATGCATGTACAGTACAGCCCGGTGTTTGGGAGGGACAGAAGAAAATGATGCTAAATATGGTTGTTGAGTTATAAAGCGTTCTTGCCATGAACCTGTAACCACTGCCTTTCTTGGGAGGTGAAGTGAGGAGGTTGCGTCCAGGTGAGTGATAAGTTTTCTGGGCAACTGACAGAGGACTCATGGCTTCCACTGGTCCTGATAGAGTGCCATAGTAACTACCTGAACCACAGCTGAAAACAAACAGACATGCAATAGTGGGTAAGTATAACAAAGCAATGGATGTGAGTGTATTTGTGTATATGTGCTTGTCTGGAGACATACTGTGTTTATCATTTTAGAGCTTTAGGCTACAGGGCAGACAATTATGCTTCTATACTAGTGGGACCACATTTACAACGAGGCAGCAGCCTTCTGTGTTGTAGTGCATTTAACAGCCAATTTCAAAAGGGAAGGATTGTGACTGAGTGCATCAACTGAAGAGTATTTCATTTTAGACCTGGAGCCTGGTTGTGACTGTCAAGTGCATATAGGATTTTCACTAAATCTCATAGTATGATGCCATGACTGTTCTTCTATTATCACCCTCAGGACACATTTTACTTTTCTCTCTCTTGCTCTCTTTTTTTTTGTTCCTCCATCAAGGAGGTTATAGCTTTGGTTCCGTGTGTATATGTGTGTGTGTGTGTGTGTGTGTGTGTGTGCTGGTTAGCAGGATTACAGACAAAGGGCTGGATGGATCATTAGCATACTTGATACAGACATCAGTGATAACCAATCCTAGAAGTGATTAGATTTTGGCAGAAAAAGATCAAAGGTCACAAAAAATAACAAAAAATCATAAAAATATCCATCTTTAACATGTCCTTATGGGGACAAAAAGCAAGCCCCCAAAACATGAATCCTCACATTAGAGATTAGTGACTTGGTTAAGGTTAAGGTCAGAGTAAGGGGAAGGCTTAGGGTAAGACCCCAGGAAACTATTGTAAGTCAGTGTAATGGCCCCTGCACTGATGGAAACACAACGTGTGTGTGTGTTTTCTCACAGCTTCTTAACACCATTAGAGGGCAGGAAGGCCTTGCCCAGGTTCTTCTTGGCCTGCTGAAGGTGGTTCTGTCGGGTCAGTCTCAATGAGTCACTCAGTGCTTCACGTTCAAAAATCCGTTTATAGGACTTCTCAAAAAAACCAGTCTGCAGAGCACATCGCTCTCTAGGGACACCAGCTTGCATCTGCCGGCTGCGATAGGCCGATTCATTGAATGGACCTGGATTTGGAATCACATTTAACCAACATTATTTATGATAATATAATGAATATATGAATAATGAATTATCATATCATGTAACTATGAATGTAGATAAACCATGTCTAGTTAGTTTGGCTATTATTATGTTGTCATTAAGAGGTCATTCAAACAATAGCACAAATACATATTTATTTCTTACACAAATTGTTATAGTTGTAACAGTGAAGTTTTTGTTGTTCATTGAAAAATTTTGTGACATCACTCAAGTAAAATAGGGGTGAATGGAATTTTGCTTGTCTTGCTTAAGTCAGTAAAATATTATACCAAAAACCCAAAGAGTGTCATAGTTCTAAAGGATGAGTGTGTTATGGTTTGGGACTATTTCCTGTTCTGGACTTTTATTTTGAAAACATTTTTCTGTCCATGTCATCTCACATGCCTCAGCTTCACTCCGGCCCTTGTTTAACTCTCACCTGTTGCTCGTTGACTCCAGTTCTCAACCTATATATTCTCTTCACTTCCCTCAGTTAGTTGTTAGCTCATTTGTGCACCACATGTTGCTTTGATTCTGTTTTTCCTGCCTCATTGTGACTATCTGAAATCCATTCTAGTGTATAGCAAAATTATATAGACGGGACAAAGTATGAGGCAAATGGGTTTTTTTATTTAGATTTTAAATGATCTAATCCTAGTTTTAGTTTTCGTTTTCTAAAATGTGGTCTAGATGGGCTCCATCTAATGAATATTACCTATAAGGAAGTAGGAACACATGTGCATTGTTATGATATAATTGGCCAGATAAATAAATGGTGTGCTTACGGTTGGTGGATGGGTTGTACTTGTCTCCAACAGAGATGTAGCTCATCTCTTTAAAGACACCCAGGCGCTCCATGTCGCTCTTCCCTTCAACTGATGGCATCTTTGCACACTGGAAAAACATATTACTATCATGTAACAAACTGCTTTAGTTGAACCATTGTGTACTCAGGGGTTAACTTCTGCCAACCCCCCCATTATAAAAAAGAATATCAGTACATTCACAAACAGGAGTGTCTGAATTTAAAAGATAAAAGGAAACGCATCTTGGCAAGGGAACAGATCTCGACACCACACTGGGTTTGTCACCAAGTGATATTCCGGGCCCTCAGCATTTTCAAATTAAGAACTGTGTGTACTGCAGTCTATAGGGCAACAACACCCCAAAGTTTGGCCTCAGGAATTACAAGGATTTAATAATAATAATAATAAAAACTAACTCATTTGCTGGTTAGTCAAAATCCTGTATAAAAGTGTAATCAATTAAACCTTACAATAACGAGGACGTGGTGACAAAGACAACACGCAAATACCTAGTTTTAAACATACCTGCAGTTGGTGCGTAGCAGTTAGGGAGGCTGTCCTGTCTATTTGTCCATCTATTTATTTGTCCAGCTATGCAGCTACAGAACATCCTGTGTCTGTGTATACAAGTTGGTTACCTTGGAGAAGGGGAAGTAAACGGTTTTCCTTCAAAATAAAAGCGTAACATTTGTTTGACAGGTCTTTACAGTTGCTTTGGTATGTTTCTCGAACCATCCTTTATATTTGCCAGACAGTAAGAGCATTTCTCCAAACAGTTTGGACAAATGGCACCACACAATGGATTACTGGACCTGCAAAAGTATGTCGCTTGCTCAGAATCCTTAGGTTATCTCTCAAAAGTAAAGATTTATGTCAATGAACATGTCAGTGGCATCAGAATGAGAAGCCTGTGTCATTGTTTATGAACATGGCAGTCAGAATGCTTAGTTATGTTCTCAGTATAACAGTGTACTATAAGCATTTTCATATGTCAACTATAGCTCAGGTTTTCATGACAATGATTGAAAATGGACAAGGCTGCATTTTTTCCTCTATAGTATACATCAGTATCAACAGTTCAGTGTTTCACGTTGCTATGCAAGATTGATTGCAAAAGATCGGACAGAATTCACATTTAGACTTTTATTGTCATTACTCACCCGTAACTCACTTACTAAATTGGACAGGAGAGTATTAGTGCCACTGTTCATGCTCTGTCACCTGTGCACCCACCCACCTCACTGGGTGCTATAATTCTGCCATTCAAATGCTTTCATTTATGTTTTTGGTCAGTGAAATCAATTCATTGCTAGTAAACAGTTGATCTTTAGGCAATACTTCACACAGAAAGAATGTATTCTGGAGCTCTTTAAAAATGCAGTCGCTATGGCCACAAGATGGCAGGCCAGCCTTAGAAATAAGGGGAGATTTCACTCTAACTATAACACATGTTCAGACCCTTAATATTTCAGATAAACCTCACCAGACACTGGATCCCTTGTTTTCCCACAAAATGTAGCTTCAGGCTAGTTTGAAAGTGAATTGACAGAGAGCAGTAGAGAAAAAGAGAAGAAAGAGTATAATATAAAGCAAGAGAGGTGATGTATGACAAAGGTTAAACAGAGAGCTTCAGGCAAACAAAGCAGGAAAACAGTTGTAGAAAATACATAGAGACGTGGAGATGAGGGATAAAGGGACAGAGAGAGAGAGAGAGAGAGACAGAAAGGTCTATACAAAATATAGAAAAACAGAAGACCCTTAAAAAGAGGCATAAGGGGAAAGATGGAGAATATATGACAATATGTACAAAGGAAGAGAGATAGGTAGAGAGACATGGAGAGTTAAAGGGGTTGACTCTGTTTTACAAATGTCCCTGGAGAATAAGGGAAAGACAACCAGCAGCAGCAGAGTCTTTCACATACAGTCAGGTCCATAAGTATTTGGACAAAGACACCAATTTTTCTAATTTTACCTCTGTACACTACCTCAATGGATTTGAAATGAAGCAGTCAATATATTGATGAAGTGTTGACTTTCAGCTTTATTTCAAGGGGTTTCACAAAACTATTGCACTAACCATTTAGGAATTACAGCCATTTGACAGACAGGCAGTTTTGTGGCCAGGTGCAGCATGTTCCGTCAGTATGTCATGGTAAATTAGACAAGAAAAGATCTCGAGCTGATTCCAAGTGTTGACATTACATTTGGTGGCTGTCCACTGGAACTCTGTGTGTGGTCGAAAAACTTGTTCATGCAAGTAAAGAAGGCTTAAAAATCTATGAGTGAGATAGAAACTTTAGGAGTGGCCAAATCAACAATTTGGTACATTCTCAACATGAAAATTGCACTGATGAGCTTAAACAACAAAAGGCCTGGAAGACCATGGATGATGTGAAGAAAAAACCCTTCACATCTTCCCAGTCAAGAGCTCTAAGAGATAGGCATATCATTGTCAGAGTCTACAATCAAGCCTTTATAAATGTAAATACAGACAGTTTACCTCATGGTGCAAGCTACAAGTAACACTAGGGAACAGAAAGGCCAGATTAGACTTAACCAGAAAAGCCTGCTCAGTTCTGGAACATGATGGGTAGACAAAAGTCTAGAGAAGGAAGGGAACAGCTCATGATCCAAGGCATGCACCATCAACTGTCAAACATGGTGGAGGCAGTGTTATGGCATTAGCATGTATGGCTTCTAGTGGAACTGGGTCACTGGTTTATTGAAGACCTGACTGCTGATAGAAGCAGCAGGATTAATTTTGAAGTGTATAGAGCTACAGTATCTACTCAGACCGAATCAAATGCTGCATAACTGACAGGATAGCGCTTCAGAGTACAGATAGATAATGACCCAAAACATACAGCAACTCGAGAACTTCTCAACGTGAAGAAATTGGATATTCTTCAATGGCCAAATCAGTAACCTGACCTCAAACCAACTGAGCATGCAAGAGCTACAACAAGCAGCAACTGACAGCAGCTACAGTAAAGGTCTGGCAAAGCATCTCAAAGGAGGAAACTCAGCATCTAGTGATGTCCATGGGTTCCAGACTTCAGGTAGCCATTGACTGCAAAGGATTTGTATCCAAGTATTAAAAATAATATATTTATTTTTATGTTAATTTGTCCAATCACTTTTGAGTATCTAAAAATGGAGGATAATGTATAAAATAATTCCTAAACGGTTAATGTGTAATCCCCTTGAATTAAAACTGAAAGTCTACAGTCCTAAACATATTGACCGCTTCATTTCAAATCCAGTGCAGTAGTGTACAGAGACAAAATTACAAATATTGTGTCCTTGTCAAACAAACCAGGCTGTAGGAATGAAGACACAATGCAATCCCTAGCTCCCTACTTTAACTTCATCTTGATTCTTAACCATCAAAAAACCTTTTGTACTTGTGAACACTGGTCAAAATGTCTTCACGATGATGGTATCAAGAAACAACTGCTCCACAAGCCGTAATACAGACATGTAAATATTCACACACACGTGTATGTACTCTATATGGAGATATTCCAATATAATAAAAAGAAGAACATACATGACACTTAGACTCAATGTGCAGCATCAAGCAAACAGACAATTCCGAATGATCCTGTGATGTGTAGTCTGATCATCAGTACGTGTGATCTTTTTTTTTTCAAAAGCATCTAAAATTCAGATCTTTAGTTTTATTTAAGAAAAACTGTCTAGTGGCTGTCTACCCTGCTTGTGCAAATCAAACCAAATATCTAAATTCTGAATGTCACTGTTTTGAAAGTTTATACCAGTGCTGTTCCAGAAGTTGGACTTATAGGATGATTTGCTTTCAGCCTTCTGTCCAGTTCATTCCAAGCCAGCTCCATGGATTTTAAGTGTGGAAGCTGTGGTGGAGTGTCCATCATTTGAAGCCTTTTTGTAGTGACATAGCCTGGAGGCATGTTTTGTTTCATCAGTTTGATGTAGGATGAACCTGTCAAAATAATGCCTCAGAGGTTGTAGAAATATAGTCTATTCCAACACTGGGTTGTTCTTTGTTGTGGACAAGCGGTGATAAGGCCCAAAATGTGGTTTTATTTTAAATTTAAGTTAAAGAAAGGCAGTGACAGGAATTTTCTTAGGATTACAAAATTATATGTATATATATATAAATAATTAAACAAATCATTATTACTAACAGTATTAAAGGACTTATTTCATCTGATCCTAGTGGAACACCTGAAAGATCAAACTGTACTGGAACTAACAACAAATTAAATAAGAAGCACTTGAATTTTGTGGGCAACGAAGCCATAATTAGTGGGAGAAAATTATACTGGGACGAGTCAGACACCATACATACATGCCTGCTCCACGCACACACACACACACACACGCACACACACACACACACACACACCCACACCCACTATCTTTACAAACCAAATAAATGGGGAAGTGCAAATTGTGAAGAAAGTGTAGGAAATCACCACAAAACAATTAACGGCATGGGGAGAGCAGGTGTGGAGCCCCATCAGTCAACACCCCCCACATTCTTGACGGCCAAGCTCACCCCCCAGCCCCACAGCGCTCAGAAAACAAAATAAACTATTATCAGCCAAATTAACAATATGACAACACAACCCAACCAATTATAAGGGCTACCTAAAGGAAAACAATTACATAATTTGACACAAAAGACGACTTACTAAACTACCATTTATCACTGTCTGCACAAAAAACCTAGCATTAATCACTAACATGCCACCACTCAAACTATTGCACAGATATTTCCCATCACTGTGCGGAGATGCATTCCTCACTTCAGATATTTCTTCTTATATCTTAACCTGAACCTAACCTCATCTTAACCCTAACCACTTTGTGTGGGGGAGGCATCTTGATAGTGGCATTTACCTTGTCTATCTCATGGATTCCACAACCCACTGAAACACTGGTCGCTATAAAGTGGGGCCTAAAGCATAGTAAGCATTAAACAATTCCACACCACCTTAATCAGCAACAATGGCTATAATCAATGTGAGCTTGTCAATCCCACCTGTCACAGCAGGGACCAAAAAGGAAGCAGCATAAAAGTGACACATGGCGAGGGCTATATTGACCTAAACTATTTAAAATTTAAAAATGCAAGAGCAAAGTACAATGGACTCTGTGGGGTAGCTGAACATTACACTGCCAGCTAAACCTAATATGAAAACATATAAATCACTGACCTATAGACAAAAGCCAGATGGTTTATATAGTGCTGTTTGGTTACAGTAAGATTGGTAGATTAGTTGTGTATGTAAGCTATCCAATTAGCTATTGCTTGGACATACCTGAAGGCCAGGTACAGCAATGGAGATGGTGAGTTGCGCCCTGCTGAGACAAACCCAAGAAGGAAACAGTTTGACAGGACTGTGTAACCATTTACCAGCCACAGTTTCACAGAAAAACCTGAGCTGCCTACACAAGGTGCGGAGCAGTACACGCAAACAGTACTCAAAACATACTTTAATTCTTTGAGAAGAAAAAAAAATAGCTGGTGTTCTTTATAACTGAGCACAGTGGATGTCTGCACTAGAGCAAGTACAGGCTGAAAAGGAGCAACGCATTTTCATTCAAATATAGGCAAAACATA